ATAGAATAGAATAGAATAGAATAGAATAGAATAGAATAGAATAGAATAGAATAGAATAGAATAGAATAGAATAGAAATAAAGTTCTGTCATTTTAAATGTAGACTAATTGGCATGCATTAAAATGAAATTTCATTGCATTCAGCTCTCAAAAGATAACCATTATGCATAATTTTTCTTATATGTATCCATTTCATGTATTCATAACTATTTTTATACTTATACCTATTATCTTGTAAGCGACTGACAAATCAAATAAATAAATAACACCCACACACATACACAGCGCAGAGAAACATCACAGTCTAGTTCGAATGTATACATATACACGTCAGAGGAGAAAAAAAGAATCCTGCGAGTTTACAATGCAGAATTTACAATGCAGGATGTCTAGGGTCGAGGAGGGGGTTGGATTAGAAGACCTCCAAGGTTCCTCCCCACTCTGTTATTCTAAAATCCTGCAATCCCATTTAAAACAGCTAGCCTAGTCTAGTTTCCGTAAAACACTTTGCTGTTGGAGCTAATCAGGAGACACCATATCAAGGCCAAAGGAAGTGCATATGTGATTCTCCATCTTGAATATGGCTGGGCTGGGTGTTTCCAAGCTGTTTCAAAACTCTTGGTACCATATCAAGAATTTAAGTCCCTTTTCATCCCATTCATGGTTTCTATGATTGGCCACCAAAGCTGCTTCCCTTTGACTGGGAAAAGCTTCAGTTCATTCTCAGGAACCTTTTCATCCCCACAGCTCCACCCATCCGCCAATCATTCCAATGGAAGCACCTACAACGTGCCACTTACCTGCGCTCTTTCCTCGCTGTTGCATGACGAATGATACCGGCCTCCATATCCCTAAACGGGAAACGCTAGGATCCACGTAGTAACAAGGTCCAGGGCTTTCCAGAACCATGATTGCTTGCAAACGAAAGAAGAATGGTCTTATGAAACCAAGGCTGGCTTTCTGGATTACTTCAACGTGGTTCTAATGGCCCTCCATTTATCTAGCTACCAAAATGTTTGAGGTGGCAAGAAGGGCCACTTTCCAAACAATCTGGTCACCATCTTTCGGGGGGGTAATTAACTTCTCGCTGAGCTGCAGTCCTAACATTGCAGATTCAGGAAATGAATGAATCAAAATGGGCCTTTATGAATCATTCAGGAAAGGAAACCACTCAGTCCACTAAATTCCCAGCAGGTGGCCATCCAACCTTTTTATCAACTTCTGGAGAGGAGAATCGAGCATTTTTCCAGCCCTTTAAACAGTCTGCTGTAATAAACTCTCTGCTGGACTTTATTTTTGCAATGACTTTGGGAAAATAGCTGTTGCTAAGTCATCAAAAGATATGGAACACATCCATTCAATATTGTACTAGCTTAGTTTCTTACTCAGTTGCCAAGCCCAATTCAACATTTTGATAGAATGAATATGGACTGCCTTTCATATACGTGTATCTAAGTGAAGGATGAACCATCGTGTATATCAAGGGTCTTCAAACTTGGCAAGTTTAAGACTGGTGGGCTTCAACTCCCAGAATTCCTGAGCTAGGAGGAATTCTGAGAGTTGAAGTTCACCAGTCTTAAAGCTGTCATGTTTGAAGACCCCTGGTGCATATACATGATGGATCATCCTTCATTTAAGTCAGGGGTCTCCAAACCTGGCAACTTTAAGACTTGTGGACTTCAATTTCCAGAATTTCTCAGCCAGCTATGCTGGCTAAGGAATTCTGGAGTCGAAGTCTGGAAATCTTAATGTTGATTTAGATGAATTCAGAGGTTTTTCTCCAGGTTTTCAGCCAAACAAGACTTTCTTATGAATCTGGCCACTTCAATCATAACCTCATTATATTGAGAAGGTCTGAAGAAGCCCCTATAGAGTCCTCTACCATGTCCTTAAGACATTTTCTCTAAAATATTGAAAAGGGTCATTTAGAATGCTGAACTGTGTCATTGAGCTGATTTCGTTCAGGATTAGTTGAAGATTCTGTTGGAAATACATGTGATAGGAAGGTTTAACATTGTTTGTTTGCTTCTGGACTGGGTTTTTTAAACCCCCAAGGTCCTATTTTGATTTTTTTTTTCCTGTGAAGGTGAGAATAACAGAATTTAGTTGATGTCCTGGGTCGTTACTCCTGTTCAAATGGAGGCTTTTAAAAAAAGAAGCTTTAAGGGTCACAGATCTCCTGAGCTCTGTTTATTTTGGGCCTGAAAACATGGTAGGTCTCAGGAACACAAATTGCACAATACAGGTAAAGTTTGCTTGGTATGGTGATTAGAATACATGCATTCACAATTAGCATGAATCAATAAGAATCCTTTATAAGTTTCTTCAGGATCCAGAATCCTTTTCCCTGCTTACTTTTTGGGCTGGACTTTATACGCATGGTATAAGCTGGCTCAGCATACTTGGTGAAGTCGTGATTCTTAATACCAGTACAAGGATATCGGTTATACTTCCCAGGTCCTGGACCTAAAATGGGATCAAAACCATCAGCTGATAACGGGACTGACAAGCAGAGAACCAGAGAAAGCTTTCCTAGAAATGCAACAGGACAGGTGGAATCACACTCAAAGTCTTGGCAGAAAGCAACAGCACTTGATCTGGTCGTTCTCTTTTGGGAGCATCCGTCATCTAGTCATCCAAGTTATCTAGTGAACATCTCCCTTTTCTTGCAAACTCAATTTTAGCAAGATTAGTAGGCAACACATACCCCGTTGGGTCATCATTTCAGAGGTATTTCCTTATCTAAACAAAGAAACAGAATGACCAAAGGTGGGCAAAAAAAGCCAGTGACTTCCTGCTGGCTTCCCCATTGAGTGTCTTTGTGAGAATCTGACTAGGAGCATTGTAAATGCTTCCCTTCCCTTCCCCTTCCTTCCTTCCTTCCTTCCTCTCTATTTCTTTCCCTCTACCACTTCTCCCTTCCCTTCCAAGCAGGCAGGTAAGTGACGGCTGCTGGGTGGGGAAGGAAGTGAGCAATTGTATGACTGTTTGGGAAATTGTCCCAAAATGTTGAAAATGAAGATCGTGTGACCACAGCAGCAGCAGGCAGTGGCACTGAAACAGCTGCACCTTCCCCAAATTACATTTCATTAGGAGTCATGGGTCCCGGATTGTGGCTGCATTTTGTAAATTAGCCCATCTGAGGAACCATGGTTTTAAAAATTGTTGCCCTGGGATGCGCTGTTTTTCGATAAAGATGATAACTCCTTTCCTTTTCCTGTTCTAAGTTTTCAAGAAGTCTCACCCCATAATTCTGAGCTGGGCAGGTGAGGTGAATGGACTAGAATGGACTAGGATAGGATAGGATAGGATAGGATAGGATAGAATAGGATAGGATAGGATAGGATAGGATAGGATGAGAAATAATAGAATAGAGTAGAGTAGAGTAAAGTAGAGTAGAATAGAAAATGGAATGGAGTGGAATGGAGTGGAGTGGAATGGAAAGGAATAGAATAGAATAGAATAGAATAGAATAGAATAGAATAGAATAGA